ACATGCATGCACACTAAAACCTAATCAACCTCATTGGAATATCAGGTTTCTCAAACTTGAAACTAACTCTCAGAATATGTTGATTAAAAGCAATTCAAAAAGAGAGTCAAAACTATGTAAGCATGCTTACAGAAAAGATTTTTGTAGAAATAAAAGCTAAAAATACTACATAGTACTTACATATTGTTGATGTGGTTCTAGTTAATTTGACACGTAAAGCCTTACCTAAGCTTAAATTCAGTGTTAATATGCATGTAGCTTCTGTATTATGTCAGTTTGCTTTAGAATGAACGTATGGTAGTTTTTAACTACTAAAACACAGTTAAGATGACTTGCAACAAGCAAGACTAAGACAGGTCTTCTTGAAAAATGGGTAGATGCAACATTTTGATTAGGTAAAGTACTGACAAAATATGTTTATGAAATATCTCAGGCCTTTTAATTTAACTTGTGGTAGTAAAAATATGATAAAGAAATTAGGCTATTGTATTAAAAAAAAATTAAAACTTGGATGGTCCAGAAGGCCTAATTTCTGAGAGAACATAACGTTTACTGAAGTCATTTGTAGTTAGTAAAATTTTTCACTAAATAGTGTATATAATGAAAAAACTTAGTTAAGCTTCACTTAAGTTCCTGTTCTTCACTTGCTTAAATATTTTGGTTTAATACTTTATTATCTAAGCCTTTCAATTCAGTGGCCTGCTTTAATTTACAACAGGGCACTTTTACTCGGGTGATAAAATTGAACCTGTTACACACTTTGAAGTTTGATGCTGCAGAGTATGGTTTTGATTCTGACAGCTGGACTTCTCCTGCCCACCTCATGCCATCACAAAAACTTTCAGACAATATTTGGTTTTATAGTGTGAGACCTGTCCCTGTTTAAATACAAATTATTATATTAAAATAACTGGAAGTCATTCTTGAGGGCATAAGCCCAAATAAGGGATCTTGTAATAAAAGGTCTCCTATGATAAAAGGTGCAGTACAGAAAGAGACACATTAAATATCATGCTTTTTTTTTTTCAAGCTACCCTGTGAAAAACTTGCTAAGATGGAAGTGCTGACAGAGGATAATGAAACACTCCTCTCCTGAAGCTATTCTCCATTTGACCACAGAGGCAATCTTTCTGGGACAATTTAGCAAGAAGCAAAAATTCACTTGTGGGCTTTTTTCGCAGAAGTAGTTCTGTATGTTGAACAGCCATGGCAAAAATAGGTTTTGCACTCTAGTGTTAAAAGATTTTTTAAAAAATGAATCCATTTTTATGGCATAGTATGGCCCTTTTACATCAAACTGACACGATCAAGGATAGAGAAAGCAAGAACCTAATGTACTGGGTATGCAGAAGGGCTGCTGAGTCGAAACAGAGATGCTAAAGCTGGTAGGGAGGCTTATGTCAGGTTTGGGTTCTTTGAGGAATATATTTGTCAGGAGTCTGCTAAGGGGTCTGTGAGGAGCAATGCAGAGGAAATTAGAACATATTTGAACCTTTTGGAAAATTGGAGTAATGCAGGCTCAATAACTACCCCAAAGTAAGAAAGAGCATCAAGTCACTTCTGCTGTCCTCCCCCTCTGTTTTTGTCCAAATTCAGGAAATACATCAAATCAAACATTACTTTTTTCCAACTTACCTTACTGGTAAAACGCTGTAGTAGATTTCAATTTACAGGAAGAAGTAAGACATTTATATATAGGATTTAAAGAAGTAATAGCATGCAGGAGTGTTTTCCCTTGGGGGAGAGCTGCTCCAATGTAACACAGACATTTTGAGTCCCAGTAGTACTCGTGGTGCTGTGACCCACACTGTCTGGGTTTCCATCAGAGCTCAGAGTGCCAAAGGGTGCCACTCCAGCACTTAAAAGGATTGCACTTAGCCCAGGGTTAGAATATCTGGCAAGCTGAATATATCCAACTGTACATTCAGATCAATGGATTTGTCAAGTTTCCCTTTCATTTTATTTTTCTGTTTATCTCCTGTACAACCAATAACAGCTTTTAATTTTTTTTAAAGAAAAAAAGTTCTTTCAATTTAAATTTTATGTTCCTTTACATCTGACGTATAAAACAATGAGCAGTAAAAATTTTGTTCTATACTTTCACTGTTAATACACAAATTTAATTGATGGAAGCAATTCTGGATCTTAATAACCAACCAGGGCTTATGGTATAATAAAGTTGGTTCCACTTTTATTTCTTGTACCTTTTTGAATCAATAAAAAGTGTAGAAGTGATGAAGAACGTTAAAACAACCTGAAACACATCATGAATTTTCACCATACCTTGCCTGTTAGTTTTTTAAGCCTTGTATGCTCAGTACAGTTAGTGCATGAAATTGGTCTTTAAACAGAGAAGGCCTGCCTTTGCAAAGCACTGAGTTAGGATAGCTGCTCTGTTCCAGCTTGGCTTTTCCTGTACTTGAAGACAGCTGGATGATGATGCACCATAGTGTCAGCCAAACTTAAAAGGACTTCTGCAAACTGTGGGGTTCGACACACTTAGGAATAATACTTGCTTTGGACGTCAGTCATGATACATGTGTCTTGTGACATCTCTGATTACCAGTTCTCCCTCTAGGTCTATGTAAAAAATACTATAGAATGTAACTAAATAAAAACCTGCCACTATAAAAACATTCATACCATCAAACTACTAAACATTTTCTTATAGTTGTTACCAATAACACCTAATTAGTTATAAAAAAAATTGAACTGGCTTATTGAACTCCTGCATCTAGTCTAATTCTTTATTCTCACATTTGCTATGCTGGCCAATATGTAACCTTCTCCTTACTTTTAAAATTGATTTGTGGAGTTGCAAAATGAATTTAACAAAACCAAAATATAGGGAAAATAGTATCCCCTACATGAACTGAAGCAGTATTAACAAGGACTGTTTATGGTAGATATTTTTAAATAGGTGTCACTTTGGGTTAAATTTTTTAAAATTAATTTTCTTCCAGAAATTAGTAAGGAGTTGGTAATAAAGAGTAAGATTTCAGACCAGTTTCAATAATATCTCTGGTTGCAAAAGACAAATAGCAGTCAGTGTTCTAGGGTCTATTCAGTAAGTACCTAAACTTGCATATTATTCTTACAGATAATTCTGGTTTTTGGCATTTTGGTAACTATGGATCAGTGTTCCTTAACAACAAATGTTCTGAGTAGAGATAAAGAAAAGGAGTTTCTCAGCTAGTCACTTTAGAGGCGGTTTGTAAGTTAATTAGATGAGAGGGCAGTTTAATAACTTCATAGAAATGAATCAAAGGGATTTTCTGTAAAACAGTAGCTGATAAGTCTGCATCACTACTAGCTCAATTCCCTTTTAGGCAAATATCAACATATTGCTTTCTATATAATTATCACAAGAGGTGATAATAAAAGAGGTGACAGCAGTAAATACAGTGACAAGTTATAGTAGCTCTGTTTTTATAAGGCTAAATTTATCCCCTTTCATTTTTTTAAATCCATCTCTCTAGCATTACATGCAAGGTAGATCTCATTAGCTTGTGAAATTGCTGCAGATAACAAAATAAAGAGCAAAACTACCAGTCTGTACATTTAATTGAAAATGAAAGAGTTACATAAAGAGTTTGATCACTAAGTTCATTCATACTAAAAGGCAGGTGTTGATGTCACTGAGACAGGGCAGAGGCAATGATCAAGGGCTACTTTTCATCTTAATCAAATCCTGTCTCTATAGTATGGATTAGAGTCCTTTTGTTTTGTTTTGTTTTGTTTTGTTTTGCTTCATTTTTTCCCCAAAATGTGAACTTCTAAGTGAGAAGGTTCACAGATTTCTAAATGAGAACTTCAGATCTCTTATTACATTGGAGATGAAGTAATGGAAATAGATTTTATTCTCTTTGGGCCTCATCTTCAGGGTTTTCAGGGTTGTGTTACTCCTGAGAGATGTTTGCTACTGAACTGAATAGTTTGCAGAAGAATTAATGCTTGACAGAGCTTTTGTCATCTTGCAGAACTCAGTTTTCCAGGTTGTCTCAGTACAAGCTAGAATGAGTTCCTTCTAGCTTCTGTTTGGTAGACTCTTGCATTAGAGCTGCGCAAAACATAAACCCTCAGTTTTTCACCATGCCTAGCAGTGCAGGCTGGAGGAGCCACATGCAGTTTGGAGTAAAAAAGCACCCAAGTGTTAAAACTTCACCCAGGTTCTTTATGAATCCCACACAAGACAAAAGTAATTCAAGGAAGCTGTGTATGCATATAAAGGAATCATTTGATATTAATCCTTAAACATGGTTTCCACTACCCAAATCCTGCTTGCTTAGACTTCAGAAAGGATGAATCAGGATTTGTGCTGTATTGACGTTTTCTGCATTTTTAAAATATTAGTGTATTTAGAATTTCTCTTTTTATGTTACTTGGTTTAAAAAAGAATTTTGCAAGAGAACTTTTATGTTAAATTACTCATATCTCTAGTTCATTCTGCTAAGATTCTGCAAAAGACTTTTGTATGTATTTGGATGACAGTATATAAGAATATACTATGTCATTTTTTTAATAACTAGCAGAAAATTCATTTTCTGATTGCAATCATATTATACATATAAAAATATTTTACTTTCATTATCCTCCTTTCAGATGCACGAAGTAAATTGCAATTACGTTTTTGAAAAAACGCTTTTCACATATTTTGCAGTAGTGCCCTTTAATATCTATATCAATATAAATATTGTTTTATTTTTATTAGACTTCATAAATATATTGACGTATCTGTAACACTAAACATTAAGCTTCCAATGCAAGAGTTTGTACATAGTCCATATCCAAATGTCACCATTATTTCATTTAAAAGATCCCAGCATGTCTACCTCATGATCCTTATAAACTCTGTAGTACTCAAATACGTCAATACTTTTTCTTGCTACATTCATTAAAATTAAGCACCCTTACCCTACCCCATCTGTAAACATCAAGTCAATTGGCAGCTAGCACATTTCCCAGTCAGCAAGCAGTATTGTGAATTTTATCTTCTCTTGCAGAAATCAATTCGTCTTCGTTGCAGCAGATGAAATTTCTTGTAACACCTCTGCAGGTAACAATCATTGATACTTCTTGATGCATCCATCCAGGTCTCAATATCCTTTTTCACATGCTGCATTTAATCGTAAGAGAAAACCTAGGAAAGTCCATAGTATAAATCTTTGGAGCAGTTTAATTAATTTGTAGCTTGAGCCTATAGGTTCTGCCATATAAAAGACATTAGGTTATTTTGCTGGCTTTGGTGTTTTGTTTCCAGTTTAAGTATCATATGGCCTAGAAAAGTAAGGATATGTTAAACCTTCTAATAAATACTTACTGTGCAGTAAAATCAAGATTGTGACTTTAAAAAAGCCAAGACAAGCAGAACTCATGAAAAGAGTAAAGGTTTAGATGTACGTAGGACATTGTAAGTGCTATGGATTTAACCATTTTCTTTTCAACTCTTTGGGGGCAAATATTGCCCACAAGGGTACTGCAGACCCTAAAGCACTCACAGAGTCTATCCTATGGATAAGATAGTGGGAGAGGGGGTCTGTGTCTTCAGAGGATCGCTCTCTAGTAAGTAAAAAGCCTTAGCTGCTTTGCTAGTATACTATCATGTCATAAGCCATGGGTACAGAAGAATGAACAATGTTTTTAAATGGTAATGGTAATTTATAAATATTTTGAATATGTCAAGGAATTTTCTCTCTTTTAAGCAATAGAGTTTGAATAATCTTAGTCTTAATTCAGGTGAGGATGGTATTATGTCACTACATAAGAAATCAAAAGCCAAAATAAATAGTAACAGTGCCAGGACATTTTCGGCCAGTAATATTATGCAAAAAAAAATCTACTGAGTTCATAAAATCTGCTTGTATTGAAGGATGAAAGGATATATAGTGTGATACAGAATGTTGGTATTAAGACTCGTTTATTTATAGAGTTTTACATTAGCAGAAATAAATGAAAGATGAAGAGTTTGCTGTTTATGCCATAGTGACCTACATAGAAACAAATAAATATTTATTTATGAAAAAGAAGATCATAGCTAAAGCCAAAATATGCTAAAATTTTAATAATCTGTATGCTAGCCATAGCATTTTTGGTGGTAATCTGAAAAGTTCTTTTGTAAGAAAACCTGTTGTAACGTGGATTTTTCAAAGTCCTAAAACATTAAGAGAATACATTTTGAGAAGTCAGCGTTTGACACTTGCTTGATTTCAATAGACTTGGATTTTGGCTTTCTTTATTTCACTTGTGCTTCCTGCTCAGCTCCAGATTAGAGTGAGCTGTAGTAGGGAGGCTACTAATTTACAAATCTAGATCTTGCTAAGTAAGAATAAGAATAATTATTTCAGCAATTTTTTAACTTGGAATTCTTGAGATAGACATGCAGTCTTTAATGTTTTTCTTGTCTTGAAAACAGTTTCCTGTTCTGCAGAGTGAACCCTTCTAATAATTGTTTCTCTAATAAAAGACATTTTTTCCCCTCAGTTCAGGCACAATTTAAGTGTCTGAGACTATATTATACTTGGCTTGTATATCACTACTTTGGAATTCCAGTCAAAAATACAGTGCTCTTGTTTATCTGTAAATTCAGTTAACTTTACAGAGAAGGAAATAGATTTCTGTGTATGTTTATTGAAACTTTTCAGTTTACCGGTTGATTACCTCTGTTGAATCGATTCAGCAATAGGGTATTTTTGTTAGGTATGTTTTTGACTGTATGATAAACATATCCACCATAGGTGACTGTGGGTGCCTGTTTTTGTAATACGGACCGAAGGAGAAAGCTAATGAAAGCCTGCATCTTCTCTTTCTTATATACTTCAATTTTAGTCATAGAATTTAAAGGATTTTTAGCTTTATAAAAAAAATAATTCTCTGGCACATATTTCTGTGGTACAAGTTACCAGAGTTGCATTTGGTCTTTAAAATCTGCAAATTGACTTTCAACTAATTTATTATCTGATGTTTTGTGTTTTAATACATGGAGCATATATAGAGATACATAAACTTTTAGAACCAAAGCTAACCTTCCTGTGGTTTTTCAGATGCGTGCAAAACACCTACAGTACAATCTTATAGTGCTTTTTTTTAGTGCTTCTAAACTGAATTACAGTCATCCAACTGTGTTTGTAAAATTGTTATCAAGTGAAGATACTGATAATATGGTCAATGTTTGAAATGTGAGTATATGTATGTTTGTATTGTTTCCTTGTAAAGAATGTGTGTGTTTGGAGATTTCAAATAATGATATAACAAGTACATTTTTGATTGGAACTTTATCATTAAATGCGGATGGAAGGTCTTGGGTGATTCTGCTGGTAACATTCACTCCTCTCTTCCTAATACTTTACAATTCCTGCCCGAGGATACTTAGCCCTCAGCCACCTGGCATCTTTTCTGATTTTTTAATAGTGATCTTGACTAAATAAATGTGTTAATGAATGGATAGTGTGTCCATATGCACATTTCTATTTGTGTATCTGTTCTGGCATGCACATTATATAAAGAAAACCTATTCAAGTATCTGACAGAGGGATCCTTCCATGGGAAATTTAAAAACATTTCACTCTCGATTGCATCCAGCGCATTCTGAGGCTAAAAATAATTACCCTTCAGAAGAGAAGTTCTGTGCTTCTGGGACAGATCTCTGGCAGGCATGATTAAAGAGTTTGCAGCAGACCTGAACTAGGACAGAGGTAGGGAAACTCTGAAATGTCTTATCAGTTTGATGATGGAAATTTAACAAGGATTTCTGAAGACTTTGCTCTAGCAAATCTCTGAAAATGGGTACATTAGGGGAGAACTAATCCTGAGGTTCCTGGCTGATGGGGTCAATGGGCATCTTGCCCTATCAAGCTCCTAATAAATCAGAATGAGGCCCAGAATAAACCCATGGTTTATTTGCATGTTGGTTACAGAACATTGTTCATTTTGATTCTTTAGCATTTTTAATGAATTTTTTAAATCAGTGCTCAATATATTTTTTCTTCCAGGTTTCATTAGATCAAAATTCATAGTTTGTACAGAAAAAAATATCTTTTTGTGTCTTTTCCAAGTGCATTCTAGGATATGAGTGCATATTGCATTTTATGTTTTTTGTCTAAATATGGGGCTGGAACATTATTCTATATTTATATAACTCTTTCTTCCTCTAATTTTTAACTCTTATCCAACTTTCATTTAGAGACAAAAAAAAACAGTGCAGTTGCACGCCTGGTATTATTTTTCTCCCAAGTGTATATGCAGTTTAAGATTTTGTAATAACAGAGACAGACATAAGTGTATATATAAATCTGAATTTGGAATGAAGTATGGTAGAAGTGGATATATAAAATTTGTCCAGTTGTGACTGTATTTATTTACATATTTGAACAGAATCATCCCCAGGAGGTGGGCTTGTGTGTCTGTGTGTGTGTATATGTGTGCGCGTGCAAAAGAAATGCATTCTAAAGCTTTAGAAGTTTTCAGTCCCAGATTAAGTTATTGACCTCCATTTGGAGAAAGAAACAGACTCTAAAACAGATTAAACATTCTGAAAGGTTTAATTTTACAACTCTATGAAAGATGTCTCATAAAAGCAGACAGCTTAAAGATGCAAACATAGGAGTTTGTACTATTGAAATACTTTGAACAGAATATTGGCAATTTTTAACAAATGCAATTGCTCAAATCATTGCAAAGTTGCTGTATACCATCATTAACCTGTCAACACTAACACTACCATAAATTTAATTCATGAAACAATAGTAAATATGGAGATATTTAAACAAAAATTAGTATTTCACGAAGTGCCTGGAATGGTTAGGGTGCCAGTCGTGGCATACCTCTGCTACAGTACAGAAATAATCGTAGCTGGTCAAAATTTTGCCATACGTGCTTGCATACATCTCATTGACTTATTCATGTGTCTGGTAGGAGATATTGGTCAGATTATATTCTTTCAAAGGAATTTCCGAGAAGCATGTAGAAACTGTACATTCTTCCAAACTGCTTTGGATGAATGCAGTTTCAGAGATATTTCCTTCAGCCTTTTTGAGTTACTGTGTGAAGACATATGCTGAGTTGTGAGAGGTTCTTCCCTTTTAGTATTGCTGCCTGTGGGTTTGACTTCATTTGATGAAGCAATTTGACTGGGAAAATAATAATTTTCTACGAGATGCTTTTATAATTTTTTATGCTCTTTCACTGATCAGCTAAAAAATGAAGATAAAAGAGCATCTGTAAGGACTTTGCTAGTATTTATTTAAGGCTGTATTGCTTCTCCCTGTGAAGAATAGCAGATACTGAAGTTTTTGCTCTGGAAAGACTAGGAAATGTTGTGCTAATACACATTATTAAACTTCCTCTATAAATTCAAGTGTCCTTTATGTTGGCAGTTTAAACTTGCGTTTACTGCTGCTGTAAATAGTTGCTTATATGGAATTCCATTTGTTACAGCTTTTACTGCTCTTGGTAGTTGTGTGGTAAAGATGTTCAGCTATTGGATCAGTTGATAAAAATCAGTAAACACTTTGATTATCCTCTGTTCTTTTTTCGTGCAGTTTGATTAATTCCCTTTTCTCACCCAGTGAAAACACTGGCAGCCCTTGCTGGAGTCTTTGTCATTATCTCTTTGACAGCTTGCCTTCCCGGTGCTTACAGTTCTAGGTCAGTTCGCATGGCTAGTCAAATGTGACAACATGACAAGATTAAGTAAAGCTGAGGTTCTGTGATTTGTAAATGGAGGATTTGCAATGTGAAGCGCCTTTGATAACAGAAATAGTGAATAATCTGTGTTTGGCCTTAACAAGTGCGCATAAGCATGTGTGCGTCTTCTGTACTCTTTTTTTAAATGAAGTAACCAGAATTCTTTTCTTTGTTAGACTGAAAGTAATAGACATTAAAGGTGGTTTGTGTGTGTGCATGTATGTATGATTGTATACATGTACATCAAATAAACAAGGATTCCATTTTAATATCTTGAGATGATCACATTACATTTGAAATATTAAACAGAAAAATAAAATTATTCTGCCTGTGACAGAACTTTACACATAAGCACAAAAGACTGCTTTAAAGTTT